TATATATATATTACGGCAGAAGATGATCGTTTTAGCGTGATACGAAGATTCAACATGAAAAGATAAAATAATTAATAATAACACCAAAAGTTTTTATATGAAAAACCCGAAAAGTGAAAAACCACGGTGATTGAAACATTTGAAGGATGTCACTATAAAAAGATAATTACAATTGCAGTCACTTGTCCCATAGGAGGAAAATGGCTACTAGGTTTTTTAAGTTATAACAACGACTGACGATGACTGATAGCAATTGGTGGCATCCGAGCGGTGGTGGTCGACAGTGGTTGGAGGTGATCGATAACGGTCGATTGTGGTCGACGGAGAATGGTGGTAGTCGATGGTCATTGGCGGAGGTCGACGACGGTCGACGATCGTAAGAGTGTTTAACTGCGATCGGTGGTTGTCGACGGTGGTCAAAGGTAGTCGACGGCAGTCGACGATGTTCGATAACTGCAGGAGTGGTGTTGGATTTCAGTTTTTTCTCAAAGTTTAAGTTTTTTCTCAATCATTGAGCTCTCCTCCTTCCCTCATGAGATGGATGAAGTCCTATTTATAGAGTTCTATGTGCAATTAATGCAGAAATATGAATCACTTTGATTAGATAGCTCAGAGAGTGGTATCAGGGTAACAACGGTGGTGGCGCCTCAATGCCGCTCAAAAAGGTAGCAGAAAGAGAAATATCTTTCACGAGAACGTGCGAGGGGATCCTTCCTTTAGCAATCTTCGATTACTTGACAATCTAGGTCTTTTTGTCAAACTCCCTTTTTTCCTTGGGTATTTATCTATCTTTCTCCTTTTTGGAGAGTTATCATCAATCTCCACTTTGGGGCTGCTATCTTTGCAATAAGGATATTACTCATCGAGATCGATTAAGAGAAGAAAAATTCTTATCATAGTGGCAAGGAAAAACAATGAAGATGAAGAACCTGATAACAAACCCTTACCTTGCCTCCACAGTACTCTTATAAATCAAACGGGAAAGTTAACGCTCAAAAAGATCTTCTAACTCTTGATATTATCCATAAAGACTCCTAATATTTTTCCCCCTTCTCTCTTGGCAATATAATAATGTCCGTATAAACACCTTTCATTCAAACTCAGGGCTTATTTCAGATCACAAGACAATTATTCCCTGACAGCAAATGGGATAGCAACAAGCATATGACATGGGTAACTTTACCGACACAATGAAGTTTTCATAAATTCACGCATATTTATATTATTATTATTATTATTATTACTCTTAGTAGTCTTCATAGCTCCTCTAAATTCACTTCTCTATAAGTTCTCAGTATTGCCAATTTTGGCAAACGAGTGTGAACTTGCGAAATCAATGAGTTCGAACAACTCCTCTCTGCAAAAGAGCCAGGGCCCCCAGGATAAGAAAGAGATCACACTTAAGTAGAAGTTTTAGCGACTACTCCCTGCAGGCATAACCAAAAGGCTCCCTGGTGAAGGGCAGTCCTGACTAAGCAATAAAATTCAAGCAACCTGTTCCTACAAGCATAGCCAAAGTGCTCCCAGGCGTAAAGAAGTATGATTTCAAATAAAATTAACTTCACTCTCCATCGTTCTTTGGTCGAGCAATAGACTTAATGAACATAGAGTGTCTTAGCGATCCTGAGAACAATTTATTCATTCTCCCAGTAACTTGTCAAAAAAAGTTAAGAGAATTGAAAAAGTAAATGTATACCAATAAATGGTTTTTTTTTTGGGCCCATGCATGTGCGATGAGGCCTTGTGAGCCTAGAAGTTATATCTCTAGTAGTCGAAGTGATAGTGGCACGCCATCCAACACATGGAGACTGATCTACTGGGTAACCTGTCGTTCCTTAGTAAAAGCTCCTCGAGATCATCCAACCATCAAAGTGAACATCATCATAAAAGGTCAGACATACGTCTAAATCTATTTGAGTCATTTGACACCAACATCATTAACATTTTTTGTGGGACGTTGTGTACATACTCCACATCATAGTCTATAATTTTATATCATACATTATAATTTTATATGTTCTTTTTGGAGAATCTGAAAAGGAAGTGGGGCTCTAAAAGGAATCCCCTCCCTCTCAGGAAAGGGGCTCAATTAATTTCTTCATTCCTCCTACATGAGTTTTCCTAAGGCTTGCTTGAGCAAATACAAGATTCAACGTCATAGAAATTCAAAAATAGGATAAGCCATGTTATAGTATAACTCTTCATGTGACTATAATATTATTCAATTCGTTTAGAATGAGTCACAATTTCTTCAGCTTAATTAGAGTTTCAACGCATCCAACTCATCAAATTTGAATTGATATTTATAAAGATCAAACTAATCATTAAAATAATCTTTACAATTACTAATAATACATTATATAATTCTCATTCTTATATAATCAAAAGAAATTTGGGTGGCATGTTAATGCCCAAATGAAAAAAAAAAATTTATTAAAATGAAGAAAAAAGATTGTTGTTCAAATTAAGGGAGCTCACAACTCTAATGAAAGCAACAATTCCAAGAGTAATTTTGAATTGCTAAATGCTCATTTTAAGCGATGTACTTCTTTCGAAGAAGTGAAACTCCGCTGCTAATCATCCCAACAACCTCAAAGCCCCCGCATGGGTTATAAACTTGAGCAACCAAGTCCGGCTATGACTTGGTCTAATACTAACATTCAAATACACATAAACCTCTGAATAAATTCACGACGTGGGACTAAAACTGTCACAATTAAAACTTAATTAACGTCTTAAATATTTATATTGAGACATGTCAACAACATGCATTAATACAGTCATCAGACATCAAATCTTTCGACTGAATGGCATGAATAACTAAACCGTGCCGACTTATAAATATTGCTTGATCAAAATAGATAATCCCACATTTGGATATTAAAAATAGAAATTTGGGATAATATCTTTGGATACCATAAAGTAAAAGCATTAAGACGAATAGTAACGCATAAGCAGGGATGAAATTAATCCTGGCGAATGCAATTTTATTGCACAGGAATTCAAAATATATGATTGGAGGGCTAATTAGTAACTCTCTCCAAAGCACCACCAACCTGCATGTGAAGCCACTCAGCTGCAGATCCTTGTTGCACGTAGTCTCTCGTCCGCTGCGGGGTATATGCTAGGCTAGTTATGTTCTCGTATGCCTGCCCTCCAAACTGAAACCCAAAAAATCAACAAATACAGAGATGAATGATTCTTGGATTGGTAATCTATGCATAGACAAAAGGTTTATTTTACTATTTAGAAGTTAGCAATAGTGACGTTTTTTGATGTTATGTGAAGATTTGAAGGTTATAAATGTAAAAAATGAAAGTTTAGGTGTTAGATATGCAGTTACACAGGAATCATGTGTTATGCATGTAAATGCATCTCTGGATATTAAATTTAAAAATAAATGTTAAGCCTTTTTTCCCTGATTAGTTAAATCCAACGTATTTCGTTTACAAATCAACCAATTAGCCACAATATGCAGTGATTCAATTATCTATTGATAAAAAACACAGAAGAAATCTAACCTGCTAATGCAATAAGAATTCAAGAAATGACTAATTTATTAAAAAAAAAAAAAAAAAACTGGAATGAGATGATTGGCTGAATCCGGAAGGAAAATCATTAGACTTACATCTTTGGAGGGGAAGCCCTCCAAGCCAGTATTAATGCGAGAATCAACTGCTTCAAGTTTCATTGAAAGGAACTGTAGATGATAAAAGAAGTTAGAGCACAAAGGCAAATCAAAAAGGAAAACATAGGTGGAGGTGTAAATGAGTCAAGATGGGCTAAGTCACCCTCAACTTGACCTTGAGCTTCAGTTTTATTAATTATTAATCGAGCTCGAGCTCGATCTAAATTTTAAGAGTTCAAGATGGCTCACAAATCGATTTATTTATTATAAAAGATAGAAACTAAATCAATTCAAGCTAGCGTTATAATAAAATAATAAATATCATGAATAATTAAGTGGTAAATCATAAGAAATCACTTGATATAATATGTAAATTACCATTTTTAAAAATATTTTCAACATGTTAAGGGTAACTTTTGAATTTTAATATATTTTGAGTATATTTTATATTAATTATTTTTTAAACAAAACTGGCTTACAAGCTAACGAGTTAGGGTTGGCTTGAACTTAGCTTTTTAGCTCATCGAGCTTAATTCACGAGCCACTGATCAAGCCGAGCCTAAGCCAGCTCACAAGTCCACTTTTGCTCAACTATGCCCCTAAACTTAGGACCTTGCCAAAGGCAGAAAAATGAGTACCTCAACCTGACGCTGCAATGCCTGGATGTAGTTTATGATCTCATCAAGTACAGATGCTTTACCAATTACCTGCTTGAAATAGAATTAGAAAGCAAAGTCTAATAAATTAAGTGCAGAAGTATGAAGCATAAAGTTTAACTGTATACCTTGTTACACCCAGGAACCAGATCTTGAAGTATCTTCATTCGCTCACTTATCTTCTCTCTCCTAGCCTATTGATGACCAGGTCCAACAAGATGGATACAACAACCAAAGGCATAAATATAAAAGTCAACATAAATTGTTCATAAAATAAACAGAGAAAATAAAAAGTATACAGGTCAATGGACAATAGATGGTAATAAGGCCTTACTCTCTCTGCCAAGCTGTGGCTGTCAGTCGCTTGACCTCTTCTGGCTCTAACATGAATGTACTCTGGCTTTGGTGGCTCCAAAGGTTGATCGAACTTATTTCCATCAGAACTTGCTTCGGCATCCACTTTAGATTCAGCATTTTCATCAATGGATTTTCCCGTTTTTGAGCGCTTCCTTGTTTGGCTATCCGCCTGCTTAAGAAAAAGGTGGCAAAAGCTATAAGAACTTGTGAGACAGAGCAAAATAAGGACTAAGACAGGGCTTCTTGTTCAAAGCCTGCATATTTGAAAAAGAAAATTCACAGCAAATCTGCCCAAAATAGATGAAGATGAAAATAAAAGGACTTTCATTAGTTTCATTACACTTTAATTCTACATATATGGTAGAAAGGTCAAAAGAGGACTTAACTAGTTACCTCAACTAGTAAAATACAATCAATAAAATATTTTTATCCTATATTTCGTCTTCCATGGTGAGAAAACAGTGTACTTGCAACAAGAAAGATACAATAGGGATATAAATGCTTGGTGAAAAAATAAATGTTGAAAAACAACAAAGCCAGACAAATATATACATCACGAATTGCTGAGAAAACCTACAAGTTGTATGGCCATCAACCACCTTTTTAGTTGTATCTGTTTTAATATTCAGTAGGTTGAACTAGAATTATAAGATTGACCAAAAGTCCACAATAGACCCATGAAATAACTTCTCTCCTACATTTTTTATCCAAGGAAAGAGCAAAACTAATAGTAAAACCAAATTGACATAGATCGAATGAGTTGAAGGACAAAATTGAACACCCAAAGAAAGATTGAAACTTTAAAAGATGAATATAAAAAAAAATAAAAAATATTTAACAATTTCTCCTTTTTAAAACATAAAAAAACTTTCTATATTTTTTACATTATTTTCTCCGGAATCTATTTGTCCCAACATCTTACTCCATTCTCATACTTCTAGTTCTGGACGAGATGCTATCAAATTTAGAAACTACCCCAAAACCATATGCCATAAATTACTTTATTGTCTACTCTCAAACTTCAAAGAGTATTTAGTTCTCATGCAAATTGTTCAAATATCACTAAAACGGAGAAATAAATTGAAACACTTTAATTGAGCCTGCCTGATGTAAAACAAGATGGCTAACAACATTAAAAATAATGATGGAATCAGGAAGCGGCTGGGGATGGTTTTTATCCTTTACAATATAAAATTCCCCAACATAGCCATATATAGAATGAAAACTTCACCCATGAATTCTCCTATAGTTATGCAAAATATAAAATTTTTCTCGCCCTTAGGTTTGGGGTAAACTATTTTGGGCCCTATATTTGACATCTAAACTTCAACGCAGATTAAAAAGATTACCACAGAAATTTATGAGTTAGAAAATAGTGTGTTGGCAATTAAGCTTGGTGGGAAGAAGATGTACAATATAAAAGAAACATTAATAAAACATGTGCCTTGAAAATGTAGTAAAACTTGAATATTAACGAGCATTAATATTTAAAACAAAGACATATAAGTCATACGGAGTGTACTAAGCAAAGCAATTAATGCAGCTTTTAAATAATAAATTTGCTACTTATAAAGGAAAAAATAAGATGGAATGAAAAAAGTAAGAGACAACAAAACAACAATCCTTTATCCCAATAAGTAGGGAATGCAAAAGCAAGAGAAAAGGCATTCAAATAGCTTGATCAAATTAACTGCATTAAAAGAGATAATAAAAAAAAATCTCAGAAGAGCGTGTCAACAAAAGATTGGATTTTTTTTTTTTTTTTTTTTAGAAATTATTAAATAAAACTTTCAAAAGGAAATTATTTTAGATGAGCATACTGAATATTATAGAAAGGAATAAGTGACTGGAAAGCTAGTCTTACTCATTTCCCCAATTAATATTTATTCACAATTACCAAGAAAAAAATTAAATTTATTAATTACAAAAGAATTAGAAATTAAACTTGTTTTTCAAAACTTTTTATTTTGGTCGACAGGGAAACTGAGCAATCCATGGCACTGCCCATTCCAAGGGAGAGAGAGAGAGGTCAAAATAGTCCCCTGACTTTTTATATGGAGTTATTTTAGTCCCAGAGTCTATAAAAGTGTCAATTTAATCATGAGGCTTATTTAATAGGGGAAAAAATAGTCCCCATAAATGACTATATCAACCAATATTAAAGAGTTTAGGGACTAATTGATATTTTTATAGACTATGGGACTAGGTGTGGGTGTGGGTGTGGGTCATTTTTTGAGTGGATGAATATCCTAAGAAATATACTTACGTACCCTAAGCAAGTTTATCTAGATGTTATTAATAAAATTAACTCGTGACATTCACAAAAAAATTTTTTGAGAATATTTTTGTGAAAAACTCTGTGTCAAAAAAGATTTCATGAGATAATTCAAATGGTTTTCCAATTCAATCACTCTTCAAGATTGAGACATTTCACATAGTTTCTTTCATTCAAACTATGCAGGATTTGTAGTATCTAAAAATCTCTATTAGCATGATTTTCACCATTCATGATGGCCTCCATTATATTAAAAAAAAAGTCAAAAAATAAAAAATTATAAGAAGAAATGAAAAGGAGATAAAAATAAAAGTTAGAAAAATGAGTTAACCTAATGTTGATACTATATACAAGAAAAGAAGTGACTAAAAACCTTGCTTTGTTCATTCCTCAATGGATACTTATACACATATTAATTTAAAAAAAATGAAATCCACTAATTATAAAGAATTTAAAAATTTAAAGCTGTTGTTCAAAATTCTCTTTCCTGACTAGTAAAATGAGGTAAAATTTGTGGCACGATCATTTCCATATCAAGCAAAAAAAAATTTGACACTCTTCTTTCCATATCAAGCACATAAATCAGTTGCACTCATCTTTTGTTAACCACATGAATCTTTGACATATATTTTCTCTTGTCTAGCACATGAACCCGCAATTCCTTTCATTCTTTATTTACTAATTATAATACTTTCAACAAATATAATAAGATATATGATAGATTGATTGAAAAAATCAAATGTGACTAGCTTTGAAAATCTATTAAGGTACAAAAGTTAGTCCATACAAAATATAGATTCAGGGTTGAAAAACTGCGAGAAATATTACAATGATTTTATTGATAAATCACTCCAGTAGAACATAAAAAATTAAAGGGATGCCAAATGATTGTAGAAGAAATAACTTGTTGCCAATCAATATGAACATATAAGATGTTTAAGATAAAAGGAATCAAATTTACATGTCATTCAATAGCATTGTAACTGACATTAATTAAACATACAAGAAAATTAATCAATTTTGAAGAAACGATATTGTTCCATGACAAAAAAAAAATTAGTATGAAGTCATTTTTATGTTTAGAACAGTAAATATAAAAAAATAGAATAAAGAAAAAATTTTCATATGATTTTTATTGCTTATAAGAAGATTCCTCATCAAATATCACAAGAATTTATTTAGTGCATTAAAGAAAAAATGGGGGGGTTAAGAGTTACAATAAAGTTATTAAAGAAATGCATAATGGATAATTAACTGTTATAATAATAAATTTAAAAATGATGAAAGAGTTTCTAATACTGATAGAATTAACCAAAGAATAAAAATAAAGTCTATATATTTTCATATTGATTATAGAATTTTTTATTAAAGATATTCCAAATAAATTCTAAATGATTATTATTTACACATAACCTAATTCTAAATGATCAGGAATATGCTAAAATAACTAAAAAATTATAATGATAATAACAATAATATTCATCAAGCAGATAACTTAGAATCACTAGAATAAAAATTAAGTACATGGATTATAGAGAAAAATGAAGATATATATGATGATATAACCTTTTGTGTTGAACTTGTGTTTAAAAAAGAGAAAAAGCCTCAACAGATTATGAAAAAAAACCATGAACGACACGGGGGCTATGCAGGACCAAACGGTTCTCAAATGGAGGGAGTTGTGCTCGTTGCTTTCCCTTCTCTCCCCTCCCCCTCCTTTCTTCTTAGCAGCTTCATAATGCAAGTCTTTATAAATCAGAATTTCTGAATATTTTTATTCCTTCTTCCTAAATCTAAATTTCCATTACAATTCCTTTCCTAAAACAAATTTTCAAATTAGAATTTCTGAATATGTTATTCCTCTTTCCTAAACCTGAAATCCTGATTTGATTCTTCTTCCTACTTTCAAGCATTGCCTAAAATAAAATCCTAACCTCATTATAAATAGATGATAATGAGCTTAGAGTTAGGGGTCTTATTTTTGATATCTGAATTCAGGTTTTAACCTTGATATTTTCCCTTCGAGGGCTATATTTGACGTCGACGTAGTGCTCCGGCTGTCCCTCGTCTGAGGTGGTGATCGTCTCCACCGGTCTGGGTGGTGCTCCGGCTGTAGCTCGACCCCGTCAAGATATTTATGTACTCTTCCACCCTTCTCGTTGCTGTCCACCGCTTCCAGCAGCCGCAAACCACAAGACCTTGCTCCCATCTTCTTTCCCTGCTGCTGTTCGACATTTCCTACAGCTATCTTGTCGCTGTCAGCCGTACCATACCCTCCCAACTACTGTTTGACACGCTTCCCGCAGCTGCACTATTGCCGCTAGCCCCTCCAACACCTTCCTCCTTGTTGTTCGACGTTTTCTGCAGCTATCCTGCTGCTGCAAGCCGTACCAACACCCACCCGGCTACTGTTTGACGCTTCTGACAACCATCCTGTTTCTGTCATCCCCTCTGACACCTTCCTCGCAGTTGTTTGGCTCTTTTTGCAGTTGTCCCTGCACCCTCCAACAACCGCAACCATCATGTCGCCTTCCTGCAACTTTCCTGCAGGTTGTACCGTACGCTGCCCCTTCCAGCCCCTCCCTACTGCAGCCCCAGCTGCTCCTTCCAGCTGCAATTCGACGCCTTGAGGATCGCTGGTTTATCGCCCTACTTCTTCCACAGTTGTTCGACATCTCTCCAGTCTTCACTGCAGCCACCGATCTAACACCACCACTCTAGATTTTCTCCTCGTCGGCTTGTTGGGTTTCCTTTTGTCAAATCTTTATTTGTCATCCTTTATTTTACGATCTTGCTTTGTGTATTGTCTTTCCTTCTTTTAAGTCTTCAAGGTAACCTTGTTTAAATCATTAGTAAAATCGGTCTTACGTCGTGTATTGGGTTAAACTCTGGTA